GCCCCTGGGGCCATGCTAACCGCGCCCACGACCAGCAGAAGCCTGTCCCCGTTGGTCCGCTGAGCAAGTCCTTTCTTGCTCAGGAGACACTGAGGGACAAAGAATCAGCCAGACAATCTGGGGGTGGGGGTCATTCAGGCTTTAAGGTAAAGCCAGTCCCCTGGATTCCTGGAGCTCTCCCTGGAAGGCGAGGCTGGACAGGAGCTCGGTTTCCACCGTGGATGGACCGTGTGGCCCCACCGAGGCCCAGGAGTTGCCACCTGCTGCAGCATGGGCCTTGCCCTGGAACTTGGTGCCCTCATGGGTTCTCTGTTCTGCATTTGTTGTCTTTGGTGGTCTCAGGACCTGAGGTGTCCTTTCCCTGGGTCCCAGCTGGGTTGCCGGCTGCCCCACAGAGCTCTGGCAGCTCAAGTTCTGGGCCCAGGACATTAATTTTGCTCCAGCCTGAGGTGGCTTCTCTAGTAGCTGTCTTTGCCAGTAACAACTTGCAAGTCACCTGTACTTGTTCCCTTTTGGCATGTCAGGGGCCCAGGCTGCAGAAGGGACCCAGACCTACCTGCACTGGCATCTCAGCTCCCCCTCCCGACGCCTCGTGACTGGACTGGGTTCTAGTAGAAGGCCATTGCTCTGAGAATACTTGCTGAGCAGGCCCCACAGAAGTGCACTCTGAATGCGCTGTTGTGTCATGGGTGTGGAGAACTATATAGAACGGCTTTTAGCCATATCCAGGGGGGTGGACCCACTGCTCTGGCATCTCAGTGACCCTTCTCCCACACGTGTCTGTCTCTCGCATGCACAGTGCTGATGTAGTTCAAAATCTGAGCACAGATCACGAGCATTGCAGATCACGTGGAAGGCACACACTCACCCCTGGTGATGCTCTGTCACTGGGACAATCAGTGTGAGCAGTGCCAACTGAGGAGGGACCGTGTCGTCTGTGCCGTTCCACCAGGAAGTGGCGGTTTCTGCTGCAGCTTTCTCTTAGCGCTGGCCTCGGATCTCGGCCCCGGCTCTGCCCTGGTTACACGGTTCTTAGAAGTTCCGGTGGGGGTCTGGTGAACCCGAGGGTGTGGACACCCGGTGAAATGAGTTAGATTAGAACTAGAATTTTAAGGCACTTCATGGAAGACTTGTTCAGAGGGCTCATCAGTCCCAGGTCCTGATGCACAACAGATTTGAAAGTTGGTCCTCACCGCCACTCCCAGTCCTGGGCAGCAGGTGGCAGTATGGAAGGTCCAGGTGCTGTCTCTGGGGCTGCCACCCCCAGCCCTGAGGTGATACCTATGGGTTAAGGTTCCCCCTTTCTTCAAGATGCTCCAGGAGAGGTGTGTGGGTATGATAAGTATTTTGTAAAAGAACTGATATTTTTTAGAGGCAGGGAGCTGGACATGTAGTGGGCGGAGGGGCAGATGTTTGGGGCAAAGGACAACTGAAACAGGTCACAGCAGGGGTGGAGATGGCAGGGGAGGGGGCCTGGGCTGCGGTGGGCGGGGCGGGGGGGCCTCGGCGTGGATGTTGTGACCATGGAAAGACTTTGTCTTAAGGACAGTGGCTTCTCTTTTGTTCCCAGTGCTGGGACGTACACAGGAGGTGAGGTGCCCAGTAGAAGTCCACAAGCGGAAGAGGACCCCGTGTGCACCCTCAGTGGCAGGGGACATCCAAGAATGATGGACTCAGTGCTTGCCCCTGCAGAAGTTCCTCTGAGCGGCTGCCACCCTGGGGGCCCCGTGTGGCCCAAACGTGCCCCCAACTCAGGACATCTCCAGGTCTCCCAGGAGGAGGGTGCTTGCAGCCGGGGTGAGGCCACAACGTGCACTGTGCGTGTGGACCTGCAGGCATGCGCGGAGCATGCAGGGCTCAGCGGCCCTGGCAGTGGTCAGTTCTGGCATATTCCAAGGAGGCTGCCTCCATTCCCTCGAAACCTGTAGCCCTGTGTGAAACAGGTGTCAGGTGCCGCCTCCCTCAGTCCCTGTGCCCTGGGCCATGGTCCGGGGTTTGTCCGGCAGCCGAAGAAGAGAGAAACCAAACTGACGCTAGCTGTGTCTTCGCCATCTGTTCTTCCACCAATGCTCGTTGTCCTAAGTGCCATGGCTGCCGTGGAGGCAGTCCTGCTCACTGCCAAGAGCATCGAGAAACAAGAGTTGGTTTTCAGGTTTGCTGAGAGGACAGTCAGGAGTGGCTTCAACACCTGTGGCATGGGCAGAAGTTTGTTTTTGTTTCCGTGACAGCAGGGCAGATTTCATCCCAGGACCACATGACAAAACTTCCTCTCCCTTTCCTCAGAGTGGAACCACGTCCCTGCCAAGCCAAGTCCCTGGGAGCCAGACCAGAGCAGGACGGCGGTCAGGCCGCGGGAGATCAGCAGCTGACACTTGGGTCAGGGATGGAGTCGCATCCCCCTGGTGCGGGCATGTTGGGGTGGTAGCACCCCCTTCCTCCTGGCAAGGTGGAGTGAAGCGCCAAGATGTGCAGACGGTGCTTAGCTCATCGCAGGGCACGTCGAAAGACTTAACAAACCGCCCCTGGCGGCAGTCCCTGTCACCCCCACCATCCTAGTGCAACATGTAAAGCAAGAGGGTGATGCTCCGAGATGGGACGTGAAGCAGCTGTGGCTCTCGGCAGGCCCTGGGCCTTGTGGTGGCTCCCACGGTGATCTGCCGGGACCAGACCTGAAGGTCAGGGTTACCTTTTTGGATCTGGCCCAAGGGCTGCCTAATGCTACATTCAGTCACTGTCCCCAAATGGAACAGCACCTGACTCAGCAGATCCAGAGAGAGGCTGGCGGCAGCCATTCCCACTTGTAAAGCCATTTTTGTTTAGAACGTTCAGGGGGAGGGCCCAGGGTTCAACAAGCCAAGAATGAGCAGGGAGCCCCCTCATTCCTCGTCTGGCTCAAGATCTGACAATTCACCGGCAACAGCAGCCCAGATTGGGGGACTGCCATTCAACACCACACTTTCTAGAAAATCTAAAGCTCTCCTTCTAAGCAATATAAATGTGGGGAGGACAAAGCCTGTCCCAGAAAACCAGGGGACTAACAGACGCGTAGGAGCTGCGTGACTTTGGAAAGTCACTGAGCCTCTGTGCTTCACCTATACATGGAGCAGTGCCGCGAGACCTGCCTCGCGTAGTTCATAGCCACGAAGGGTAAAAATGACGTGACATGAAGGCACAGGGGAAGGACTCAAGGACTCATTGATCCCAACCAGGGTGGGCTGCATGGAGGAGGTGGCATTTTGGATCAAAGTAGATGAATCAGAAACTGATGGGCAGAGAAAAGGTGGGAGGACTGCACCTGCAGAAGAGCAGGAGCAGAGGCATGGAGTATGTCGGCAGCTGGACAGGTTTCTGTGGCTGGCACCCAGGGGCTGGGGGCCGTGTGGCGCCTGGACAGCCCAGGAAGATGAGCAGGGTCTACGGTGGGCGTGAGGACTGCAGCGCTCCTTAGGCACTGTAGCCGTAGAAGGTGTTACGGGATGGGCTCGGACCTGCAGGGCGGAGCATGGGCGATGAGGGTAGGCTGCTGGCGAGGAGACGGGCAGAGGCCCGGGGCACAGGGCCCCAGGAGTCACCTCCCCCGGATGTCAGCAGGCAGTGGCCCGGAGGGAGCTCAGGTAGGGAGGCCCCGGGTGAGGTGAGAAGGCTGTGGTCCAGGTGGAGAGGTGGCCGAGGTGGCCAAGGTGCCCTTTGAGGGTCATGGTTTTTACATCCAAGTGTTCCTAACTGGCCAGAGTTTCAGCACACAGTAGCTACCCATAAACCGCAGAGTCTCCTCAGAGGCCGGGGGTGCACTTAGGACACTACTGCATTTGGAACTTGTGGTTAGTGTATCCAACACGTCCCCAGAGCATAGGGACAATCCGGTGAGGGCGCAGGGGCTAGGCCAGGTTCTAGGGCAGCAGGTGCTGCAGCGACAGGCTGTGTCACTCCCCTCGCGTGCGCCGGGCAGCTGCCAGGTGCACCGGGAGGGGCCTCAGCCAGCTTGGGCGCCATGTGGCGAAGGACCCTGGCACTCCTGTGAAATCGGAGATTTATCCAGGTCTGTAAACAGGCACTGGGGGAGGGGGGGCGGGGCGGGGGGGACAGGTCAAGTCGGAGGGCAGGCTGGCCCTCACCAGGTGCGTCTCCACCTTGCGCTTCCCACCTGAGGGAGCTTTTTTACTCTGAGACTTTTGGTGCCTCTGGTCCCTTGAACATGCCAAGCACATTCCCACTTCAGATCTCAGGTACCCTCTCCTCACCACGGCACTGCTCAAACGGCATCTCTCCAGAGAGCCCCCACCCCGTCCTCCCCCGCACGTGTTCTCAGGGCACTCGCCACCCTCAGCACCAGCCTCCGCGCGGTGACTCCTCACGTCAGCTCCATGAGGGCGGACGCTTGCTGTCCACAGCTGGATGGCCAGCACTTACCACTCACTGCCTGCCATTCCCAGGGCTCGATGGATTTCCGGAGGGACGGTCGGGGGGTGGGTGGACACCGGTGAGCAGGAGCGAGAGGCCTCTGACCCGAAGGCGACGTGCGCTCTGGCACGGCAGTGTGCGGCTAGGCCAGGCCCCGTCCGCCTGCGCGCCGCTGACATTCAGGGCTGGGAGTCCGTTCTCTGCTGTGGGAGGCTGTCCTGTGCTTTGCAGGTGTGGGAAGCATCCCTGGACAGGAGCAGCCACCAAAATTGTGACAACCAAAATTACCTCCAGACAATTGCCAAATGTCTTCCAGGGTGGGAGTGATGGGCCCAAGTCGCCACCAGTGGACAACCATTCCAAGTTACACTTTGAATACGTGGTTCTTAAAGTCCCCTCCCCAAGTCCCCATGGAGAGTGGGCCAACCCCCAGGTGGCCTCTGACCCTGTGGGAGAGCCACAACACGACACCACAGGCTTTGCTGCTGCCATTTATTGTTTTACCGCATATTTACAATCCAACAGGAGACCTGTCCCTCTACGGCCAAGGCCCTTTGGTTTTTCACTGGCTCCCGACCCCCAGGTAGGGGCCTTGGGCGTCAGACAGTCAGCAGGAGGGGCTGGTGCTCATCATCGGTGGCATCACCGGGTGGGATTTCGTAAACGACACACAGGGAAGAGTACAGGCAGCCCAGGAAGGACACCAGGCTGGAGAAGTACATCACCCCATTGGCACTGCCCACAGCCGAAGTCAGGGGTCCCAGCACCAGCGAGACCAGGATCTGGGCCAGGAAGTACTGGCAGCTCAGCAGGGAGATGTCCACACCCATGCCACGCCGTGTACCATCCGCAGTGGACCCTGCAAACTGACCCAGAGGAGGGACCGTCAGCAGCAAGGGGCCAGGTGACCAGGCCAAACAGCCATGCACCAAGGGCTCATGTTTTCCAGGACCGATGTGCACAGGGAGTTCAGCCAAAAGCTTATTAATATTTGTGTTCAGAGAAATGACAATGAAAAGAATCCATGACTAACGGGGCAGGAGGGCTGTGTTCTCTCAGGCCTGGGTGGGCAGCACTTTCCCCGCATGGACAGTCTTGTCCTCTCCTCCACTCTCGCCTAAAAGCAAGCGACCTGCCCAGAGAGCTGGTGCTCCTCCATGTTCTGGATCATCCCTTTCCTCAGCTGTGACACCTGTCACACAGTCTGATATAGCCTGTCACAAACCGCACCGCTAGGCCATTGGCCGGGTCTGGAGGTCCTCGCCCCTCCAGCCCAGTCGCTCCCCACCCACCGCAGCACCTGGGCGAGGTGGGGAGCTGTGTCTGGGCAGGGCTGCAGGCGCAACGGTGGGAGGGGGCGGTATGGGTCCCCTGCTCTGCTCCTCAGCACAGGCTACCCTCACCCAGCAGCCACCCCAGGGGTGCTGCCAAATCCCTCCCCGGGGAAGGCTGTCCTCGTGGCACCTGCAAGGTGCTTGGCGAGTGGGCCCACGTGCCCTGGGAACTGCAGCTCCTGGTGACCACACAGCCACGAGGCCTGTGGGGAGGCCACGAGTCAGCCCTGAACGAACAGCCCAAGGAAGACGGAGAGGAATGGGAGCCCCCAGAAGGCTCTACGGACAGCAGAGGCCGAGCCTTCCGTTCAGCTCTGACCAAATTTGGTTATGGTGGCCTGTGACCCTGGGTGTCCCCTCCTGTGCAACAGGGCAGCCCTTTACCAAGGAACGGCACATCCGTTTAACCCAGGGAAGGGTCTCAGGACTGCAGGGAAGTGACAAGGTGGGTGGAGACCTGGGTGGCACCAGTGAGCGAGGACAGCAACGCAAGTCCCCTGGTCCCTCAGGTGCTGCTGGCACAGGCCATGGCTGCCCTGACAATGCTGGCTAGAGGCACAAAGTGCGTGCACGGCTCGCTCATGTCACCACCTCAGCCCTGCGCAGAGTACAGGGACAGCCCTCCCCCGGCCGTGGCCGTGGCGGCACGGGGTCTGCAGCAGGCCAGGGACAGGCTGGGAGGGGGCTGCTGGACCACCACCCGGGCTGGCCCGACTGCACACAGCCTGCTCGGGGCCAGCCCCACCACAGTCACCGAGCCCCCAAACCCCTTGAAGCAAATCAGGACGCCTCTGGGGGAGGTGACGGAGGCCCAGAACTAAAGGGGGCGTGAGAAGCTCCCTTACGGAAGTGACCTTTAAGTCCTTTAAAATCTCAAAGGTACTGCAGAAACCTATGCTGGCAACAGCGTTCAGCCCTAAGGAGAGAAGCCTGCCCTCATGCCACCACGTGGGTGACCCTGAAAGCGTCACACTGCGTGGGAGCCGCCACCCTCGACAGGCCACACACCGACTCCTCCTACACACACCGCCCAAAACAGGCGGGTCCAGAGAGACAAGTAGGCTGGTGGTTGCTGGCGAGCCCCAGGGACCGGAGGGGCGACGGTCACACACCTTGCGAGCACAGGGTGGGCAAAAGTAGGTTTACAGTTGTGAGTGCACAGAACAGTTTATTCTTCTATTAGTAATTGTATTTTCCGTATGAACAACTGTAAACCTGTTTTGCTCCACTCTGTACACGGACCACCCTGGACTGTGCACTTGAAGTGGGCGAGCTGCTTGGTGAGTCGGTTCTCAGTAAGGCTGCTCAAGGCAGACCCACACTGAACAAAGCACCAGACTTGGACCAGAAGACGGGACCTTCATCCTGCGTTTTCCTCTGCCTAAGCCTCCCCTGTGACCTGGCACAGGCAGCTCTCTTACCAGTCGTTAAACCCCTGATGCTTTGTTCAGTGTGGATTTGGGGCATGCATTCTTGTTTTTAGAAATTCTACATCAACACATTGGTGTTAAAGGTGGGGTTTTGTGCCCAAGGTGAGTGCCTCACCTTGCCCAAGGCCCTCTATACACGAGACCCCGGAGTTTCACAGGCCCTGGGGATGACACGGGGTGGGTGTCACTGTCCTGATGTCTGAAGGGGACCCTGCATGTCCTTTGTGCACCAGCCTCAGAGTAAGTGGGGCGGGGCGGGGGGGGGGTCATTTCCTAGGGCAGGCTCTCCCAGCAGCTGGGTGGGTGGAGGCCGTAGCCAGGTGAGGGGGCACCTACCTCCTTGCTGTGGTAGTAGTCACACAGCAGCGAGTAGGGCAGCGTGCACAGCGTGGAAAAGAGGATCCCGTAGGTTATGCACAGGGACAGAACCACATAGAGATTCCTGGACAGGGTGGCGAGCCCGGTCCCCAGCCCAAAGGCCAGGTAGGCAACGAAGTACAGCGTGCGGATGCTGAGGTATTCTTCCAGCTTCTCCAGGATGGCTGTAGGCCAGACAGGAGGGTGAGGAGGAGAACTCGGTGTCCCTGGCCACCTCCCCTGGGCTGACCCTTGGGCTCAACCTGCCTGTGGGCAGAGGGGGCTGAGGGACCCTGACAGCTCCAGTGGGGCCAGAGGGAGGGCAGGGTGTGGGGTGGCCCGCAGGAGCTGCTGCAGGTGAAGGGGACTTTGGGTTGACATCTCAGAGGCTCAGGAATGTAGCATTTCGTGCTGGAGTCTGTGTCACCATAGAGATGCCCACTCCTAAAATGAGGACACCAGCGTCCCACAGACCAGCCAGGGATCCTGTGAGGGCACGGAGCCTCAACTGCGGACGGCACCGCTTCCTGGGGTCAGGTAGCTCAGGGCCGCTTCCCCACCCCCTGGTGTCACTAGCTGTGGGGGACCAGACACCCCACGTGCCACCAGGGGCTGGCAAGTGAGGGCTAAGGACTCCTAGCACAGCCTTGGGACCCCACAAAAGTCACATCCTGTCCTTGGGGCTGAGCTCGCTGAATGGGGAGAAAAAACAGGGCCTGCAAATGACAGCTCTCAGGATGAGCCGGTGGCAGCCTGTGTTTTTACCTCTGCAGCAAAAAAAAATGGCTTTTAAAAATCAAAAGATAAGTATTTTGTGTCACATGAAAACGATATGAAATTCAAATTCCCATGAACATAGATGGAGTTTGCCTAGAACTTGGCCACATGCCACATGCACATGTTGTCTCATCTATGTGGCCTACAAAGCCCACATGGTCTGCTCTCTGGCCTTTTACGGAAACACAGGTGGACCACGAGACATGTGCGTCACACACTGCCAGCCTTCCCCCCGAAATGGCAGCTGCACCCACGTAAACGCACATGGTTTCTCGTGGTCGCCCAGGCACAGGCCCAGGGTCATCTCAGACTCCTGCCTCGAGCCTCCCGCCATTTCCCTATCCCAGTGCACCTGCCCCTCCGCCCTCCACACCAGCTGTTACCTGAATGATATGGGAAGGATTCGGGGGGACGGGACAGCACACCTGCCTGGAGGTGTCCCTGGGCCCCACTTTCCCTCGATTGCAGGCCTGACCCTCTGCCCAACGGCTTACTCGGGCCTGGACCTACACCCGGCTCTGACCAGCCCAGCCCCACCACCCAGGGCGGGGCACCCCGGCAGGCGGCTGGGTGGCTGAAAGAAGACAGCGCAGGGACTGGGGATCAGGGCTCTGCAGTTAAAAGGACACCAGCCTTCCTTCAGTCTGCACGTTCCAGCCACCCGACCAAAGGCCCCCCGGCCGTCCTGAGAGGGGCCCAGCCTGCGTCTCGCCCCTCGCCCGCGGCGAGTACCTGAGTAGAAGGCGGCGCTGAAGGCGTAAATGCACATCCCCCAGCAGCCCATGGTGACGCCGCTGTTGTACTTCTGGTACTCCTCCGACGTGTGCGGGGCTTTGGGGTCCCCCTGAAATACCACCTCGCCCATGAAGTCCGTGTAGAAGAGCAGCATCCCCTCAAACGAGAGCCAGCCTGAGGGGGCAGAGGACTGTGACCGCCGCGCAGACCACAGCCCGCGCCACTCACGCAAACGGCCAGTTTTGACTGATTCTCAAAGCAGCACATAGATTCAAAACTTACAGAGGGAACCATCTCCAGCCTCATCACCCAGAGATCTCTTTACCTGTTAAAGTTTTGTACTCTTTACCTCTGTTAAAATTTTGTAGGTTTCCTAGCAGTCTGGGTTTTTTTTCTTAAGCAAAGGCATAGTCTTATAGGCTGTGGTGCATGAAGCTTCTGTATCCTGTTATTTCTCTGAACATAATTGTCTTGGGGAACACTGAGCCCCCTCCGCCTTCTAAGATAAAGTGCCCAGGAGGCTCCAGCCACGGGAGGGAGGCGGGGAGACCGTTTAATTGAGAGGATACATAAGGCCACATAAATGTCGCTACCACCAATTTGCTTTACCACCCATTACAGAGCAGTGATTTCCTCCCTCTAAATTCCCTCCCCATCAATTTCTTCGGTGTGGGAAGGGGGTGGCATGTATCGGCCCCCTTGAACCCTAATAATTATCATGCACAACGTCCTATGCCACTAAATATTCTGAAGCAGCCCTGTTTTCCTGGCAGCCGAATACCTCAGCATGGGCGCGCATAACCCCTGTAGCCCTTCTTCTGCAGTTGGACGTTCACGCCTCCCCCCACTCCCGCCTTTGGCCGGGGTGACTCATGCTGGGATAAATACCTTGCACATTCGTTCTTGGTAAAATCTGATTATGTCCTCACAAAGAATACCAAACAGGATCACAGAGGTAAATGTCATGGACATTTTAAAGATTCTTGCCTGTTGGCAAAATGCCTCCCAGAAAGCCACTCAGATTTGTATCCTCCAACATACGTTTGAGAGCCCTGGGTGATCTCAGGTTCTCCATCAGCCCCACATTCCACAGCCCAACGGCAAAGAAACACCGAATGGAATGGAGTGCGGGCTGGGGCTTTTCCACAGTCATTCAAAGGCCAGACCTTGTGAACGCAAGACCAGCACTGGACATGCGGGCACATGTGTCTGTCCCGGCTCTACATGAGGCCCAAACTGGCTTAAGATGCCAGTCCCACCCGTGGGGAAAGGACATCTGCCACTTAACTGCGAGTTGGCCAAGGATCTTTGGTAATGGGGTTTTGGGCTCTGGAGACCCAGGTGTTGGGCCTCTCGTCTGAGCACCGGCTCTTACCCAGGCGGCCTGGAGCTGGCGCCTCCGGCCTTCCTGGAGGTCAGCCCGCCCTCAGTGGCATCTGGGAGCTAAATGAACTTGGGGAGCCTCCTGGAAGGCCGTTAGAGGCAAGACCCCTGGGTCCAGCAGCCCGGTCCCCACCACGCAACGTGACCCCCGCCAGGACAGGGATGCACAGGGAGGCTGTGCCAAGAGCTCACCCAGGAAGTGGTTGACACACAGGCTGCGCAGCGCTTTGGGCATGTGGCAGATGGTGGAACAGAGGTGTCCCACAGACAGGGACTGCCCCGGCGGCTCGCTGGGGCCTGTCAGCTCGCTTTCGTACTTCACGCCATTCAGTAAGATGTTTGCCACCTGCACAGGGAGCCCCAAAAGCCCCTCATCAGAGCCCCAAACTCTGCTGGCCCATGGAAGCACACGCAGACACAGGGCCGTGCAGGTTTGTGCTCCTGGACGGGCCGACTGAGCACCACATGCCACCTGGGCAGGAGGTGACTTCAGGGAGCTGCCGGAATGGGATTGCATCACAGGCGGACCCGCATTTGGGCCCCGGGATGCAGGGTTGGTCCACAGGGAGTAAGCTGGTGGCTTGCCAAATATAAAATACATGTGAAATAAACGAAACATGGGGCAAGTCAAATGCAGACTTTGTGTGAAGTCCCTTCTTTTCTATAAGAGGAGGCTGTGAAAGACTGATTTCACAGCACCCGGGGAACCTGTCCACACCTCCCTCTGGACAGGTGGAACGCCTGTCTCCACGGCAGTCCGGGGGCCAGGTGAGCACGTGCAGGGAGCGGACGCACTCACCTGGGCCCCTGGCAAGGGCTCACGTGCACCCAGACACCCCCACTGCCAACGGAATAGGGGCTGGACTGAGCAGGGGCGACACCGCTCTCCTGGGCTCACGAGCGACATTACACCAGCAGAGGGGCTTGCCGGCTCGCGCGGAGGAGGCCTCCGTCCACGGCCGCTGCCTGGCCAGGTGGGCAGCGCGCTGACGGCAGGTGTGCAGGTGTAAAGAGGAGCCACCGCTCTGGCTCCAGGGGGCCCTGTGCTGTGCCAACGCCCGGGGTCCCCGTGGCACGGGAAGAGGAAGGAAAGAGCCCGCCATCTGGTGCAAGGTCAGCCGCTGTCACTGAGGAAGACTGCGACATCACGCCTGAGCCCAGAGGCGTTTATATTCAGCTCAGGGGTTTGGCTCTGCTCAGAGAACTGCTTCAGAATTCACACCTCTCCGGAATGAAAAGCCTTTAAAGGATTAAAAGGAGATTGTCAACTACACATAAAAGTGTAGTTTAGACTTTCAACTAAGGACCTGTATGTAGAAGCCAGTCTGAGTCCTTTGGATCAGGAGAGGGTGATGACCTAGCATTGACCAAAAGCCGAGTGGCTGCTCTAGCGTCACCAAGGACGAGGCGGGCAGTGCCCCGGGTGGCATGTGCAGAGATCTCTCTGTTGTTGCAGGAACCGGGCTCCCTAACCCTCCAGTGACCTCTGGTTCCTCTGACCCTTCCCAGGCCTGAGCTCACAGGACGCCCACGGGCAGCCTCTACTTCCTCGAGGACAGTCACGCGCCTGGTGACATCCTTCCCGGGCATGAGCTGACGATCACGCTTCACGGGTGATGAGAATGGCCCTGGGACTGGCTGGCCACGGCGCGCCAGCAAAAAGCAGCAGCCACGCTGAAGGCTTTCACAGTGAAAAGAAGACGGACAGCCCTCAGCACGTCTCCAGTCAGCCCCCCGCGACACTGGCGGCCTTCCCGGACCCAGAGCGGGGCGCCTGACCGAGGGCCCGGCTGTCGGGGGGCCTCTGTGGGGCTGGCTTCCTGAGGCAACACGGCCGCCCACGCGTCCACGGCCCGGACACCGGGTCACAGGCCCTCGGAGCCGCCCAGCCAGAACACTGTTTCAGAGGGTCCCTGCTCAGGAAACTCAAGTTCTCATTGAAATTCTCTCATCCTGGGACCCGAGGGCAGGCGGGCCACAGAGCTAGGACATCGACCTTCAAGGAGAGAAGGGCCTCTCTGTAGTTTAAAGTCACCTCTTTGTGACCAGACTCTGAAACTGCTATAACCCTTTCGGCCAATCCCACAGACGCTACATACAACACAAGCAGCCTCCCAGAAGGTTCTCTGCCTTCCAGAATGTGCTCCGCACGGCCCTTTGCCGTCCAGAGTGTGACGGCCCCTGGGACGGGCAGCGAAGGTGAGCGCAAGGGCGGGACGTAGGTGGGGGGTCCGGGGCGTCTGCCAGGGTTCCCCTTCCATCCTGTCTTTCAGGAAGACGGTGGCACCGTGGACAACGTGGGTGGACGTTAGGGGAAAATGCCAGAAACCACTGAAGCACACAGCGTCGCGGCACACGCACTCCAGGCCGGCCCGGCAGACGCAGCCGTGTGCGGAGGGCCCCTGCGGCCGAGGCCAGTGTGCGACAGCGCCCGCCACACCCCGCGGCGGCTCCAGGCTCCCGTGGCCCGATTCCGCTCTTGACACGGACGTGCCTGAGGCGCGTCTCTCTGGGTCCGAGGGCCTCTGCTGCCCCGGGATGACCGGGAGTTTCTTTCCAGATTGACAGTCCTCCCTCGTCACCTGACTGACAAGGGGGGACATCGCACGGTGCCCTCGGACCCTTGCCCCCCCACTCGCTTTTTACCTGTTGACTGAAGGTCACGTTCCTCCTCTTGCCGGTGTCGGGACCACCTGCTCCGGCCGCGTCCGGGAGGGCCAAGGTCTGGGGTCTCTTCAGGATGCCGGTCGATCGTGGCTTGGAGGTGTCCAGGGAGCCCACCCTCAGGACGTCCCCGTCACAGCCGGTCGTCACGGCCGCCTCCCGCCTCTCCCCGAGGCCGCAGTCCTGGCGGTAGAAGCCGTCGGGGGCCCGGGGGAAGCTGACGCTGATGGCCGGCCTCGGGACGCTGCCCTGGAGGGCCAGGTAGTTGTCCTGGCCGCCCGTGAAGCAGTCGATGAGGACGCTGTCGATGTGGGAGGTGGCAAACGACGAGGCGAAGGCGCTGAGCCCCGTCGGGGAGCCGTCCCTGCTGAGGAAGCTGCCGTACTTGGGCGTGAGGGGGCTGAGCGGGGAGATGGGGCTGGAGAAGCTGGCGTACAGGCCGTTGTCCGGGTGGCAGGGCAGGGCGTCGCCAGCCTCCCCCTGGCCCGGGACAGGCGGGGACGGCGGCAGCGGCAGGCTGGGGCTCTTCATGGCCGGCCTCTTCTCGCCGGGGGGCCGCAGGGGCCGCTCGGGGATGCTGAGCAGGGTCAGGACGGTGGTGACGCTCAGGATGACCGCGGTGAAAATGTAAATGACCCGCAGCTGCCCGCCCAGGGCTCTCCCGAAGCCGGTCCTGTCCCAGTGGATGCCCCCGACCACGTACCCGAAGCCGCCCCCGAGACCTGGGGAGAGAGGCGGGCTTCGGAAGGGGCCGCGGGGAAGGCGGTCCCGGGCCTCACCCAGGGGGCTAAACCCACTCCAAGGGCCCGGTGTCTCATCTGTCCCAGCAAAACCACACAGAGTGAGGATGGGAGCGGGATTCCTGGGGCCCCCCAGGGCGCCCCCCCGCCCTCAGGGCCCTGCTCCAGAGCAGGCGGTGCGATGGACACCTGTCCGTGTTGTATCCCACCTTCGGCGTGGCCTCTTAGGGACACCCACATGGACTGTCTGCACCGGGCCACATGCCTACCCAGGTCACACCTCCCCTTCAGTCCCCTGGACCCCCAGCTTCACTGCCACATGAACACAGGAGATCTCATCTTTGACATGCATGTGCATGCTGGCATTCACGTGGCCACCCTGCCTCGCTTGCCTGATGACATTTTCCTTGAGCAGGACTGCCATTAAGAGAGTGACCCCTAACGGTGACCAAGGGTGGCCCAGCCAGGCAGCCGTGCTCTGGGCCATGGAGCCTTCAGGCGAGCGCAGGGCTGTGAGTCCGGTCCCTTCTTCTGTCGCACCCACTCGCTGCCTTCCACGGCCTCGGGGGGCCGGCAAACGGCCAGCGGGTTCACTCCCGCTCGCCTCCCCGAAGGGCTGCGTCCTGCCGCCCAGCTCTGGGCGTCCCGGGGGCGGGGGCAGGGCCGCGCGGGTGTCCCCGCCGCCCAGCGCCCGGGCCCGCACCTCTCGCGTGGCCTAAGGCGGGGCACATCACTGAGTCTGCCTGTTGAACGGTTTTACTGCAGAGTTTCCTTCGTCCCAGACTGTCCTCTGGGCCTTTAAATCTCTGGCCCCCTTTTTATTCTTTTAAACTTCTCACATTCGTGGTCCTAGTTAGTTTCCCTAGTTACTATCCCTTCTGAGGACACGACTGCTGTTTTGGACTCTAAATCAAGGTCAGATTTGAGGAACACCTTATCAATAAGCGATGGAAGCAATGCAGTCTCACAGTTAAGAAACCAAACATTAAGCCCTGGCCAGCATGGCTCACTTCATTGGGGCGTCACCCTGCCCACCAAAAGGTCACGGGTTCGATTCCCCGTCAGGGCACATGCCTAAGTTGTAGGTTCGGCCCTTGGTTGGGGCACATGTGAGAGGCAACCAATTGATGTTTCCCCCTCACATCAATGTTTCTCTCTGGCTCGCTCTCTTGCTCTCCCCTCTCTCTAAAATCCATAAGCTTGTCCTCAGGTGAGGATTAAAAAAATGCAACCCAGGCATGTGCCCTGACCAGGAATCGAACCGGTGGCCTTTTTGGTTACCAGATGATGCTCCAACCAACTGAGCCATGCCAGCCAGGGCCATATAACATTTCAATATCATCTTTATGTATGATGTTTATATCACACTGAATTCTCTCAGTGTTTTGCAGTTAATTCCCGTGTGGTTTTCCTATGCACAGTGACAGAGGCGACCAGGGGTAATGCTGACCCTCTACACCTGTGTCTATGGCTCCTGACTTTGACAGGCGCATTTCTCATGTTTGCCATTAAGCACAGCCCAGGTGTGCAGGCACACAACGGCCACGTGGGGCACGTGCGGACACTCCTGCACAGCTGATTCTCCTGACTCTCAGATGCTGTATTTGCCGTTACCTACGCACTAACACCGACTGGTAACCAGCTGAGGCCCAGCCCCGAAGCACTCAGTCCCCGGTCACCCGTGGGTGTGTGCGGGGCAGCAAGGGTCCTGAGTCGCCCTGCCCCCACGGTCCCCGCTGAGGTTTGGAAGGCGATGTCCTGTGTTTTGTAAATGACCATCCTTTTTAAAGCTTCTCTTTTTGCATGTTTGTGCTTTGTTGGGGGTGGCACTGCCGTTTTAAACAGCCCCCGCGGGCAGTGCCGACGTGCGTCTCCTCGGCCCAGGGCGAGGAGCCGCGATGAGCTCTCGGAGAAAACGCGGATGAGAAGAGTCCCCGGGCCTGGGTCCCAGTGCCGTCAGCCGGGGTTCAGTGCTCATGAACCCACTGGTTTCATACAGACTAAATAAGGTGTCTTTCAACAGAAACGCATACAATGAGGTTCTGTATTGATCAGTAGATGAAAATGGGACCCCAGGTTTGCGGGAACCTAACCCCGTATTTGTCCTAGCGACAGTGGTCCAGGATTGGCTAATTCAAAGGTCATGGAGACTTTGTAGAACCTAACTACAAAAATAACCAGCATGCTCTACAGATAACACTATATAACTATACCTACATGGATTTTTGTTGGTCGCCGTTATTTGAGATGTACATCTCCAATCACGTCAGCGCTCATTCATGCATTCGGATTGCATCGACTGACGCTTCAGATCGGGACGTGAGGAAGGGACGAGCCGGGACGCACAGGGCAATGCGCAGCCCGGGCGGGACTCACCTGCCAGGAGCGCGTGGATGTTCAGGCCCCGGTCCTGGTCGACAGGGCCACACACGTCCATCATGTACGCGTGGCTGGGGTTGTCAGCCGAGTCGGCGCTGAAGTCCATCAGCACCACCCCGCACACGGTGAGCACAATGCCCCACTTGTGGTCGGTGGCCGTGTCGGCCAGCGCTGAGCCGATGTCCCTGCCGTTGAGCAAGAGCGAGAGGCCCAGCAGCGCCCCTGCGGACAGAGAAACACGGTCAGCAGGGAAATGCGGGCCGGCAGCCCTCAGCCTAAGTCCCGAACCTGGAGGGCCCCAGAATTCCTTTTCAGTCGAATTCCCAGCAGAGCCCACTGGAAATGTCACCTGCAGACTCTCCAGACATTTTCTTTGACTTGGATCAGGGTCGCCCAGCCAAGCAGACCAGCAGAGACATGAATGTAATGGACTCGCTTTTCAGAGATAACCTAGTGATACATTCTCACAGGGGACTCAGGCCAGGGCAGGGGCGCTCCTGCCACCCCGCCAGTGGAATTATCTGGATAATTGCTTTGGTCCACACTCTCTTAGATTTTCTTAAGAGGAAGGAGTGGGGCCTTTTTTCCCCCTCTTTATTTCAATTCCAAAACAACAGACCTATCGCCAGGACAAGAATGAAAGGGCGTCTCCGTCCAAACCTTGAAGTACATCGGTCACTCCAAGCACCCAAGAGTGGCTGCAGTAGGAATCCTGAAACAGAGCAGGCCGGCGGTCACTGCCCGGGTCCCCACGGCACAGGGGGAACCACCGCATTCCAGAAATACCTGCGCTCAACCGCCCCCCCCCCGCCCCCGGCGTCAAAAACGGAACAGGATGGAACTCCAAGTCAGCAATAAAGCCCTAAGCTAGAAAACAAAGACCGACCCCTGGAACCATTCGGCGTCTTCCTAAATGTTCTGCGTAGGCCCCTTTAAGGCACTCCGTAGCCGTGACCTTGGGACCCAAGAAACCCCAGGACCTCCCAGACCCAGCATCAAGCTTTACAGCGTGGATTCTCCGGCATTAGCTCCCCGCAGCATGGGGCTAGTCCTTGGGGGCTGCTAAATCCCTGTTCCATAATCTGGTTTAGACAAAGTCACTTAAAGTACAGGGAGATGACCAGCCATCTCTTGCTCCTCCCTTGGCCCCTGGGGACCCACACGCTGCGCTGCTTTTCGGGGCTGCGTGGGCTCCCGCAGGTGGGCAGGCGTCAGGAGGCCCCTCCCCTGACCCCTCCCCCCGAGCTGGGCGGGGCTCACCAAGGACAGGGCTGAGGAGCCACACCAGGCTGTAGAGCTGGGCTGGGAGGCCCATCTGCAGGAGCACGGGGGTCACATAGGCCGTCTCCATGGCGTAGCTGAACTCGATGCCGAAGAGAATGCAGCCGTTGAAGAGCAGCTCCCGGAAGGACCTCTGGGGGTGCAGGTCCCCAAAGTCCACCAGCTCGATTGGACACGGGGTGTTGGGGGGCGGGGGTGGGGAGGGGCGAATGCTCTTCCTCCTCTTGGAGTGGCGTTTGAAGCTGTTGGCCCGGTGGCTGATGTGCCGGGTCACAGAGCCCCCGTAGCCCGCGATCGGAGACCTCCAGAAGTCCAGAGGAGCCAAGCTGGGGAGGAGGGCCTCACCCGGAGGGGGGCAGCTCGCAGGGGGGTTCATCGTGGGGGGGGCCGCTGGGAGTTCCTGCGGGGAAAGCCCAGCCGAAGGCCTGCAGTCATTCACCGCACGGGGGCTTCGGCTTCGAGGTAACTTTTCCCGGGGGCTCTCCCCTCCCCTCTCCCGACTGGCACACACGGGCCCTTTTCACTGGGGAACCCCTAGCGCCACACTGCGCCCCTCAGAGTAGAGCCCACTGCGCATGGGTGGCATCGCCTGGCCTCGATCTCCAGTCAGTGCAGCTCAGAGACTGAGGGGACGCTGGCTCCCTGCTCCCTCGGGTCCCCGCGTTCCAACTCAAGGGACTGCTCCCCAAACAGGTGCCATCGGGGAGTCATGCAAACACCCTCCGGAGCTGGGGAACCAGCTGAGATCCCTTCAGACGCCACACTATTTCACAGCCTGCGACCCATCTCCAGGGTCAAGGGTGCCCTTCCCTGCAGGTCCCCAGGGAGCAGAGAGGGAGGAGACAGGCATGGGACAGGAGCCTCCCAGGACGGGGTCAGAGTGGCCACCTTCCCTAGGAGTATGTTCACGCTTCGCAGCAGGCCCAGGGCCGGGGGAGGGCGGGATCCTTGCCTAAAAGCAGCTGAATGAGTTTAATTCAAGGTTTTTGTTTGTTTGTTTTTAGCATCAATTGAGCAAGTGAATTTGCAGTCAAATCAGAACTGAGGCTCTTTAAATGTTTGAAACTACTCTTTTTAAAATATAAACCAAACTCCCTGAGTTCTGCATGTCAGACAACATGCTGCGCAGGGAGAACCAGGGAGGGGAGAAAGGGAGATTTGTCCCCATCTTCAAGTTCTCTTTTGAGCAGTTTTCACACATAGCACACCCTTTGCCCTCTGTCCCTGTCCCTGTCCCCTCCCCTGTCCCTGCCCCTGCTCCTGGGGTTTGCAGTTGGCACCAGAGGCCTGGGCATCCAACCACTTGGTCAGTGCTGTGAAATGAATGTAGATTGTAAACATGAAAGGAGTGTGTTCTAGCATGTTGGCCTGCGTGTTTTAGCCAATGTTAACTTTACGAAGCACAGGAAGAGGAAAGCTATGAAGGTCAGCGGGAACGGCGTAAGAGGGCAGTCTGGTCACAAAGAAGCAACAGGCTAGATCCCCCTGAAGTCCTTCCAGGGACGTGGGCCTCGCACTCAAGACATTCCCAACATTGGTAGTTTCCTGGTGCGGATACTTGTTACTTACTAAAGTCAATATTACAGATTTTCTTTCAAAATTAGTTTTAAGTTTTAGAAATGAGGCCCTTATTTCTGACATTAACTTTTCATACCAGCTTCCATCACACTACTGATAGGCAAAAACCTCTTTATGGGCCGCTCTCAAATTCTTCGTCATCCAGATTTGCATTCCAAACTTTGCCCCGCCACCCTGCTTGCGCAGGGACAGTCTTCCTGAGTCTCAGAAGACACCAGTGGTGGGAATGACTGGTTCTAGAAATGTTCCAGTAGGGTTCAAAACACTGTGTTACCCCAATAACCCACCTGTCCATCCGTCATCCATCCATCCATCCTCCTTTCCATGCATCCCTCCTCCCACCCACCCACCCACCCACCCACATCCACTCACCCATCCTCTAATCTACCCGCCTACCCACCCACCCTTCCAAACGCGCGCGCGCACACACACTCACCCATCCATCTTCCTTCCCATTCATTCATTCGTCTGTCTACCCACTCACCCATCCTTCCATCCACACATTCACCTCCCCATCCTCTGGCCTACCCATCCACCCTTCCAAATATCCATCCATCTGTCCGTCTGTCTGCCTGCCCACCTCTTCACCCCTCCATTCACCTGCCTATGTCCTTCCATGCTCCCACTCCCTCCCCTACCCACGCACCCTGGTGCCCACCTACCCACCCACTGTCCCATCTAGCGAGTGCTGAGTGCAAAGACAGACACTGAAGTCACAGAGAAGGAAGGCAGAGTGGAGGGGTGGTGTTCTACGCAGCGGGGCCGCCCTGCAGAGATGGTCGCGCGCACCATTCGGGCACACGGCAGAGCGGGGAGACAGGGAGCCATCGGAAGGGCTTAGTGGGTCACCAGAGGCCTTGCTGATGTGCTGGGAGATGGATGTCATCCCGGTGACAGGGACTGACATAGCCTGAGACTCAGTCTGCTCTCCCTCCTATAAATGGCGTATCTCGTGACCTTAGAGAAGCCCATTCTCTTCTCCAACACAAGAACAGATGTACCCAAGAACTATGCAGACAAGCAACACTTCATTGCAAATATAATTCATGTAGGAAGATTAAGTCAAGATTTGAAAGATTTGAAAGCTAAGTGCCACACGTTCCCTCTGGTCTAACTCAGGCCCTTGTACCTAGTCCATACTTTAGGAAAATCTGTGCATTGACCGGCTCTGCCGTCAAACACCCAGATGCTGTTAGCGCCCCTGGAGCGTCACTCAGGACGATCGCAGAAACAGTGTGCCCCCCACAGCACCGCACAAGTTCCCTCCTCAAAAGCCGAAGGGAGGCGTCAGCACAGAGGCCAGGGAGAGCGCGGCCGGACGCCGCCCCACGCCTGCCTGCTGCCCTGTCTGTCTCTCCGCGGGCCCTCTTTCCTACCGTCACCCCTGTTGAGTGAACTAAGCGCCCGCACGCTAGAGCTGTCCCTTTCATTGCGGAATGGAGAACCAAGAGCCCACTTTGGAAGAATTTCAGCTTTACACAGCCTGATGGAAACATGTTTTTGAAAAGGGGAACCTTTTGGACCCTACTTAAAATGCACTGTTCCGCTAGGCCCGTCACTACCTGGCCCATGACGACTCGATCGCCACCTGTGCACTGTGCCCAGCTTCCGCGCACAGTCTCCCGCGGGTCCCAGTGGGGGCGGCCTGCACCCCTAGACAGGGGGAAACCCGAGCTCAGAAAAGTCTTCGCTGAGGCTTCACCTTCAAATTTGGGGGTTAGCGGCACCATTTTTATTTGAAAAATACATTTTATTAAAAGCTGTCCGTGAAAGCTTACGCTAAGAAAAATGTTTAAAATTAATTTTTGAATGTTGTAAGAATGAAAGTGAAATTTAAGAAAATAGTATTTTAATACACGATATAAATACTCACCTGATCATGTCAGATGACCATTTTACTCAGTGCAAAAAAAAAAAAAAAAAAAAAATCCCGCACAGTTGCCTGGACCCCACAGTTCTGTGTGCAGCCCACTGTGTTTGTAGTCTAGAGGATGTTTCAGGCAACAAGTCCCCCAAACTACCTCATGGGAAGACTCAGCAGCAAAAGACTAATACAAATAAACAATGTCCATGTAAACTGCGTAAAAGGCTCTTACTATGAGCCAAACCCATTTCCTCATTTCTTTCTCTTCTATAGAAACCAGTCTTCCCACCGCGGGGCTGCCGTGGGCAGTGTGTCTTCCTCTTATCAATTCTCAGTTAATACTTCAAGGAAATCCCCCGGAGCAGTAGGGGGTCTGGGGACTCGAGGGCAGAAATTTAACAACCCGGTCACTTAACTGTGGCCCCTACCTGTCGGCCCACTGATCCCAGGAGCCTGGCCTGGCCCAGGTGGACCTGGGTTCCATCAGCACCTGACTCTACTTCCCTATAAGCTGAGAACCACCAACATGGCGGTAACACAGAGATGATCGGAGAAGTAATTTATTGTCGAGGATTAGTGTGAACTCAAGTGCTAGGAGCCTCCAGTTTCAACCTCAGCTCCTTGCCCTTTGGCGAGAAGGGCAGAGCACCTGGGAGCTGGTAATCAACGTCCTCCCCAGAGACTGGAAGAGGTGGACCCCGTGGCCATCCCAGAGTTCAGCCTCCAGCAGAAGTGAACCGGAAGCTGACGACACCTGCCCAGGTGACTCAGAACAGGCCCCCGGCACCAGTAAGCATTAGCCAGGGGCAAATTCCAGTGTTTGCTCGCCCTAGCCAGGAAGAAATACATGTCATCCAACTGCCACGGGGCCAGAGGGAGGAGGCGGGGTCTCTATTTGCAATTTAATTGAGCAGACATTCAAGAGGAACAAAGGTCTCCGTGCCAACCTCCAGCCCCGCTCTGGGCACTCGGACTACCCGGGGGCCTGCACCGCCTCCCTGCCAGCACCGCGCCGGAAGCCGTGCAGAGCACGCGGGAGGAAATGGGGGTACCTGTGGTGCGAGCCCGGAGGCATCCCTTCCCGACGTCGGGCTCCTGCCGGCCCCGCGCGCAGCTCGCCCGGCTGCCCCCGGCCCGCCGCCGCCGCCGCTGCCGCCGCTGCAGCATCACCCGCGGGGCGGGGCCGTGACGTCACGGCTGCATCCTCGGCGCGGGGCCGGTACCCGCAGAGCATCCTTAAAGCGGCACCGCCGGCGCCCGCCCTCTCCCGATCCCAGGCCAGGGGAGAGCCCCAGAGACAGGACCGCTGTGGCTTCCCGGGCCAGAGGCACGCGTACCAACCATGGCAAGCCCCTTCCGCTGTCAAAAACCAAAAATAAAAATTTATTTTAGGACTGTGTTGGTCTACGGATGAAGGTATTAATACCATACATTAAAATTTTCCCCTGGCCTAAGACGTCTCAGTTTTGTTGTTGTTTTGATTTTTTTTAAAAATGAGCTCATTTCATGGATCCCTAAAAGCATGTAGGCTCTGGGTGCTGTGCGCACGTCCAGGCCCGACCAGGCGGCTCTGCCCACAGCCAGGCCGCCGGGCTCACTTACTCACCAACGGGCGTCAGGTGCCGCTCAGCGCGAGTCGCTCTTCTACGGACTGGGGATGCGGCAATGAGCAAAACAGACAAAAGTTCCTGCCCGGGCAGCCAGGCGAGACGTTACACAGAGGAAGAGACACATTAAAAAGACAAATAACATGAATAAGGAAGATGCCAGAAGACAGTAACTCCCTAGAGAAGGGGTTCAGGGGTGTGGTGCGGGAGGAGGGGGTGTGGTTGCAGTTTTCAAAATAGGGCTGCTGATGGGCCCCCACCTAGGAGGTGCCATTTGAAGAAAGACTTGCGGGGGGAGGGGGCCAGCCACGCTGGTATCTGGGGGAAGGCCACCCAGGCAGGGGGAAGAGCAGGGGCAAAGGCCCTGGCATGGAAGCGAGGCAGGTCGGGTCAAACAGGACGGGCAATGACCAGACACGCCGCAGGGAGGTCGCAAGGGCAGACAGCGCTGCTGAGGGGAAGCGCGTGGCCCTGTGGACGGCTATAAGGGGGAATTTGATCTTGTTTGAGGGTCACGTGCTCCTTGAGAACCAGTGAGAGTGGAGAAGGGCACCAGGGCTGAGTGGGCAGGGTGGCGTGTTCTGGCTGAGGGGCCGGCATGTGCGGTGCTGCTACCGGGGAGGGCCCGGCGAGCCCAGAGCTGAAGGGGCCGGTGGGGCCGGACAGCAGAGGCCCAGGCCGAGCAGCGAAGCTAGAGAGGCGGACGGCGCCCAGCCTATGGGCCTTGTGGCTGCTGCCATTTTGTAAGACCAAGATGACCCTTAGAAAAGTTCTATGCTGGAGAGCAAGTGACATTAATTATACTGGTGTTTTGCAAAGGTCACAGAGCTCAGGGGAGGAAACAGACCAGACGGGCAGGAAGCTCAGGTGGGTGCGCGAGGTGGGAGCTTCAGGACGGCTCCCATGGCGGAGGGCCGGACATGGTGAATTCGCTGGGCATTTAGGGGGTGAAACCAGGAGGACTTGGCGATGGATGGAAGGTGGGGGGAGGGGTGGGGGTGTGGGAAGGAGGGGGAGGTGCCAAGAAGTTTCCAGCTTGAGCACCTGGGGGAATTGAAAGGTGAGCTGGTTGGCTGGTGGGGTGGGAGTCACTGCTTGGCTTTGGGGCAGGACCAGATTGAAGGGCCTTTGGGGATGCAGATCTGGAGATCGGGTGCCTTGCAAATCACCTGCCCCGGGAGCTGCCTGAAGCCGCGGACAAGGGCGGGCGCTGGACGGCCGGGGCAGGTGGAGCCTGGAGGGTCGCAGCGGTCACTGGGCAGTCTCGGGGGATGAGCCGTCGGAGAACTGGTTCTATCTTATTTTTTTCTCTAAACAAAAGTAAAACAGTTTCAAAAAGTATCAATGTTTTTCTCTTTTTACACACAAATGACCTACTATTTGGCTGATAGGCCTCAACATCTAAGATGCTTATAACACAATGGATGCTTACTTTTGGCCCATGTGGCATTCAGAGGGCGTTCCTGCGGGTGGGGGACCTCCTTCTGCCCAGCTGTCCCAGCCAGGCTCACAATGGCCCCTGCTCCACTCGCATTCTGTTGCTGAGGACTCAGTGACATGGCCACACGCAGGGACCGGGAGGAAGTGGGCCTGTCGTCTGCCTCTCGAGCTTTTATCTGCTTGGGGTGGAGGGTGGGGGGAGGGGAGGTGATTTGGAAAGCTATGAAAACAAAAGTTAATATTCAAAATGGGATTTTGCAGAAAGCCAGAAGCCTTGCAATTTAGGCATAGTTGAGAAAGGACTTTTAAAAGATCCCTTGGACTGTTCTGAACCTTCCAAAGTGAGAACTTCCAGGATTAGAACCCTCCTTTCTTGGCCCCGCGGCCAGCCCAGAGCGTGGCGTGAACCAGCTTTCCCCCAACGGTCGAAGTCTGAGGACAGGAAGGAGACCCTCAGGGCCTGCAGGAAACACCAGGCAGCTGGGGGAGACGGCAGAAGCTGGAGGGAGGGAGACTCAGCCAAAGTTGGGCGCTGGGAGGACCCCCGAGGGCACGGGCTCATGCCCCCCTCAGTCCAGAAGGGAGCTTGCTTTGGGCCGAGCAGCCCAGAACCAACACAGGGGCTGCAGCCTGGCTTAGGGGCGGGGGAGGGGGCCGAGGCAGATGGTGTGGTGGGTCAGAGCTGAAATGGACAAGGGTCCAACGGCCCCGTCGGTGGGGAAAGGATAGGTAGGCCAGATGGCGAGTCGAGACTAGCGAAGAGCCCCAGCGGGGTCCGCAGGGCCAGTCGGGAATCCCACCACCCTGACCTCAGCGGCTCCTGCAGGGCACACAATCCCAGGGGGTCCCAGGAGCCCCAGCTGCATCCCAGAGAAGATGAAGAGGATGACGACCCCGGAGGTCGTTATTATCCTAAAGAGACCAGGTCAGGCCTGGAGGGACTGTGCCAATGATCCGACTGGACTCAGATTTACACCAGGTTTGGTCTCGTTAGGGCGCCTCCGCCCCGCACCCTCTGAGCCTGCGGCGGGGACGGCTGATGAGAAAGCGCAGCGGACGCCAAGAGGAGGCCGCGCCCGCACTCTGGACCCCTGATCGCGGCCCGCGGAGCCGACCGGCGGCGAAGGGGGCGCCAGCGGAGATGCGGGCGCGGCCTCCCGGGGGCGAGGGCCGGCGGCGGCTCACCTGCCTTCTCGGGGTGTCCACGAGGTGGTGGAAGAGCCCCACCTTTCCTGGCCTGAGCGGCGGGCGCACAGGGTGGGCGGCCACGGGAGCGACCGGCGCGCGCATCTTGAATCCCTCCAGCCCCAAAGGAAGACGAGATGACGCCTTTAAGGCCCGCTCAGGCCCGGCGAGGATTCAGGGTTCTAAGGCGGAATTTTTCTTTTCACTCTGTGAATACATTTTTTTTTTTCCTGCAAAGCACACAATCACGTGATTTTTTTGTCAGTAACATTATTCTTAGTATCCGATCTTGGGCCCAGCCCTGTGCTGAGGTTTTTACGTACGTGACGCCTCCTGGAATCACTCTAAGTTTATCAATGGGGTGCTACTCCCACCCTGTGCGCTTGCTCCCGAAGCCTGAGGGTCAGGCCACACCACAGGGTAGGAGCGGGGACGCCAACCAAGGGCTGCGCAGTCCCTAGGCCCATGTCTCCCGCAACAGCCGGGCGAGGGCTCACGCTCACGCAGGCTTACAGGTGTGCACGCTGACGGGCACAGACCCACGCACGCGCACACACTTGGGCATGCTCACACACGCACGCACACTGTTGCCAAAGCTCCCTCAGGCAAGCAGCAGCCGGCCTGAGATTCTGCATTTGCCCCCAGGAGGTCCGTTCCTACGGGGAAGAGCTGCAGGACTCCCGCCCTCCCGTTACGCACTGCGGGGCGCCAAGGCCCGGCTCCTCCTGTCCGTGCCCCCGGGGCGGGGCTCTGCTCCTGGCAGACAGACACCTTTATTTGACCCACTACAGCGGGATCCGTTGGGCGAAGCTGTGCTGCTAACCTGCGTCCACACAGGTGCATTGTGCATTCAGGCCGATTGTCATGGGCTGGCCTGGGAGCTTCATCACACTGTTACCGCAGGAAAAACGAGTTCTGAGGTCGGGCCGCGGCCTCCCCGCTTTGCCGAGGGCTTGTGGAGCCGACTGCGCTCTGGACGCGCCACTCGCAGCGGCAAAGGGGAAGGAGAGCCGCGGGGAGTCCGCGCGGAGCCAGAGCAGTATTTCCATACTTCCTTTACAGCCAGCTCCTTGCTGAGCTCACGTGTTAATTTTAAGAATGTGTTTAGATCCTTTTAGCTTTTCTACATAAACAGACGTGTTGTCAGTGAATAAAGACAATCTCTCCCTTTCTTTTTCATTCATTTCTGCTTTTCTCTGTATTATTTCCTCCTGTTAACTTTCTCTGAGTTTAACTTGCTCTTGGTTTACTAACTTCTTGAGATGAGTACTTGGATTGTTGACATTTTGGCCATGTCTCTTTCCTAATATAAGCATTTGAAGTTACGTATCTCCCGCTAAGCATGACCTTAGACCAGGAATTTTCAACCTGTGGGCCGCAAGAATTTTTAAAATGTGCAATACCTGACTATTTAGTCAGGGGCACTGACCTCTTTTCCCTTCAGTTGTCAAGTAAAAAGATGTCAACAGCCAATATAATAGCCATCTGGTATGAATGAATCAAAATTATACCGAATTTTTTTTGTTAGTTTGGCAAAAAATATATTTTTGGTGTGCCACAGAATTTTAGTAACTGGCATATGTATGCCATGAGATGAAAAAGGTTGAAAACCACTGCTTTAGATGCATCCCACCATTTTTGACACATTGTATTTGCATTATCATTGAGTTAGACACTCTGGCAAGACATCCAAGTGAAAAAACATGGCTGAGAGTTAGAGACAAGGGAGGACCTGGGGCTTGGCCATGTTTCGAGGTTTGGATCGGGGTGTTTGGGGATGGACATTGAATGAAAAAACAGACACGCTCAGGTTCCAGTGGAGACGGAGCAGGGTCTGAGAGGGTCCCAGACGCAGTGATCACCGTGTAAAACTATCCCTACGACGCTGCCCCTGTTGGTCTCTCTGTTCTCGAGACTTTTCTATCCAACTGCCCACTGGATTTCTCCACTTAGATAGGTAGTAGGCATGTCAAACGTATCAAGTCCAAAACCTAAACCCTTGATTTCCACCCCCAGATCTGCTCCTTGCGTGACTACTTACCGGGGAAACCTTGGGTGACGCAAAGGAGCCCCCGGAGATTTGGGGTGTGTTACTTCTACAGGGCCGCCCCGAAGTTCAGAGGCCGACCTGTTCTCTGCCGCAGAGTCAGCCTGATTCTCCCTGAACTGTCTGCTTGAAAAGGTCCAATGACCATTGTCAGCCTGGCTGGGGTGGCCCACAAACCAAGGGGGTGCTAGTCCGACTCCCAGCCAGGGCACAGCCTGGGTTGCGGGCCAGGTCCCCAGGAGGGGGCACGCAAGAGGCAACCACACAGCGATGTTTCTCTCCCTCTCTTTCTCCCATCCAAGTACTAACCAGGCCCGACCCTGCTTAGCTTCCGAGATCAGACGAGATCGGGCGCGTTCAGGGTGGTATGGCTGTAGACTCTTTCTCCCTCCCTTTCCCCTCTAAAAATAAATAAATAAAATCTTAAAACAAAAGAAGTCCAGTGGCCATTTCCCATCATGAAGCCTGCACTTCCTGCCTCATTTCCCGGGCCCCCGCCTCCTACCTGTGCACTCAAAGTTGTCTCCCTCCGCAGCTACACACACTGCTCTCCTGACCCCAGACGCACGCTCGCCTGGGAACACAGTCTGCGCGTGGGGCGGCTGCAGGCTTCCCAGGAAGGTTCTGCCCTACCAGCTCCCGACGCCTTGCCTTGCTTCTCTGACCTCCATCTGCCTCCTCCCAGCTCACTTGATTTAGCACCTATTCACGCAACAGCTTGCGCTGCTCAGCAGCTCTTCGCTTAGCTCCTGTTGGTCTTTTGTCCCTAAGCAGGTCTGCGGCCCCCACCCCCTCTCGTGACATTTAGTCTATTCTTAGTGCTCAATCAATACCCCTGCCCCGCCCCTGCTTGTTAGCTGATAGGGGCCGATTTGCAACATCCAAAGCTTGGCTTTCTGGCTTCAGAAACCCACCCCTGCTCTGTGCGGGAAGCCTCGCCCTCGCTGCTGCCAGGACACCACAGGTGACCAAGGCTGGGACACGCTGTGGGTCCTCCTGCCTGTCTTTTTGGCCCAAATGTCTCCTTTGCCACAGGGTGGCCTGAAATAAGCCCCCGGCGACAGAGGCAGGGCTCTGCCTTCCTCTTCCCTCCCACTCTCCCGGACAGGGTTCTCACACTTTGGTGGGACTAAGGTCCAGCGCAGGTGCTGTTCGGAATGCTTGTCCCTGTTCCCCCAGAGAGTCCAGTTGTGTCTGGGGAGTCAAGGTCGCCGCACACCCCAGTGCTTGTGGGCAGACGGAGCTGTGGCCCTGCTCCGGGAGACCACGCTCCTGCCAGGTTCGGGCGGGGCCCGAAGTGGAACGCTCCTGGGCTCCTGGGACTTCTTCTCACCTACGGTGTCCTCTGTCTTCCTAGTTTCACATGAAATTGCTGTACCCTGTTTCCTTTTATGTCTCCCTCAGAAATCATCAAAAGCTTGACCCGTTTTGAACAAGCCCCTCTGGGCCCACGGCCTCCGTGCGGGCCAGGCTTCGGCGGTTCCTGTCAGCAGCCGATGGAGCTGAGAGACCCCAGGAGGTTCTGTCACGGGGACCCCACAGCAACTATTGGTAGAAAAAAATGTTAAAACGCGGCTCTGGCCCCAGCCCTCAGCATGGAGCGCGGTCATTTTCCCTGAGAGAGAGTCTGGCTTAGATCACAGTTAGTTATGAAGTATAGCTCAAGAGAAAGGAATGTTTAAATGTTGGCCTTAATTTTATAATTAGAAGCTTGCAAGGAAAAGAGGTCCATGTTTCCACAGTGCATATATGCAAAAGGAGAGTCTGGAAGGACATGCCTGGACCACAGCAGTGTCTACCCCGGGCGATGGTATCGAGTGGGATGGGTGACAAGTGACCTTCTGCTTGAGCCATGTCAGTGCTCTTGTGGAGGTGGCTGATGTTCTACAACGATCAGGTGCTACGTTTGTAAGACAAAATGAGTTTGAAAGCAGCCATCCCCACCCGGCCTTTTAAAATAAAATACCCCCCACACGGGCCCAGCGTCCTGTGCAACAAAGCGGAGAAGCCGGGCCAGGCCGTCTCCCTCGGACGGCCGCTCTCCACGGCTGCCGGGACGCCTTCAGACACGGCGCCCCAGGTCTCCTCATGCTTGGGCCTGGGAGGACCCCATTAAACAGGTCTCGCTGTCCGGGGGGTAGGGGCTTGCTCCGTAATTTATAGGGCAGTAGAATCGAAGACTCTCTCGTGGCTCTGGGCTCTTATTTGAATTTTTGCACAACTTAAAGCGCTGTCGCCCGACATCTGATTTTCCCAGCATCAGTCAGGTGCCTTTTGAACTTGACCGGAACAGAACGTACGGGTCTCTTGCATCACTCACTGCGGCCTGGGTCCATAAGCAGACTTTGGCCGCAAAGGGCTTTGTGTTCCTTTCCACTGGACCAACAAGGGGCGTCAGGACCCACGCCCCCACCTCCACAAATCTCCCCTCTGCCCTCCCACCGGGCCGTTTTCTCTGTCCGCAAGCCCCTCGCTCGCTATTAATTAAACGGCTTTGTTTTCTCCTTCAATGAGCCGGCCTCTTCAAGTGCATCCAACCCCCCTCACTTCCAGCTTCACGGGGACCCAGCATTGCAGTTGCCAACAGACAGACACCTCATTATTTACCCAACTTGAATCGGGACTATTTTTCTCCTTCTTGGACGCTCCCCTGCAAGAGCTCCTCGGTCCTTTCTCCGCTGCACGCAGTTCCTCCCGCCGCGCAAATCCCGCTGACGGCCCCAACACAGCCTACGTTGTTCTCTTTCTTCAAGAGTTTTTTTTTTTTAATCCATTTAACTTGTTTTCCAGCGAGGCGCAGTGGGGCGGACTCCCCCGTCCGGCAGGCACCTGGACAGCAGCGCTGCCTCTTCCAATACGACTCGATTCTTCCATCCGGGCCCCAGTCTGGAGGCGGCCAGCCCGGCAACCCTCAGGTGTGCCCTTGACCTGCGGCGGGACCCTGATGGGTCTTGCCCCTCGGGCCCCAGATGCCCCCTGGGGCTTCCTCCAGGAAAGACCCCTGGAAACATTTGTGAAACCTTCGCTGGCTCCTTTCCAGGCAGAACACAATTCCAGGGGCTGGTGAGAGGGGCCTCTGAAGGCGGCGCCCGCGGAGGTGAAGTCATCTCTCAGGGCCGGAGAGCAGAGGGGAGTCTTTGTTATGGAAGCGACTGGAATTGTCATCTCCTCGTACTTCTAGAGGCGTCATCAGCCTTCAGACGCTGTCATTTATATAAGAATTCTCTGTTGGACAACAAAGAGCATTTGAGGTGTTGGGTGTAAAACTGAGAAAACACTCCCGTCCTGAGACGGGCAGGAGTCCGGCTTCCTCTCCACCGCGGCTGGTCCCCAGCTGTGATGGCCGTGTACGCGGGCCTCCTCCACAGGCCCTGTGCGGGGAAGCCACCACGGGCCCGGCCCTCCAGGGCTGGCCTCCCCCCGTAGCCGCGGGACTGCTGGAGGGACCCGGGACCCAGGCTGGCACACCCCTCAGACCGTCCCATCCAGAAGCTGGCCTTGGGGACATCCTTGCCCTTTGACAAAGTGAAGACATGTGATGAAGTGTCGGCTCCTGTCTACCGTGTGCGAGTCCGCGCTCCCCACGGCCCCTAACAAGGGTCCCGGGCCCTTGAGGAGCAGTCTGACTCCCCTCCCTGGGCCGCCGCACTGGGGCTCAGCCCCGAGTCCAGCGCAGCCCCGCCCCAGCCCGCCCCAGCCTGCTACTCAGCCCTGCAGAGCTGTGCCGTCGCCTGTCCCCTGCCTGTCTCCCTGGGTCGGCAGGGAGCTCGCTGAACTTCAGGAAGGCATGTCACACACCTCTGTGTCCTGAGGCTCACACCAGGGCTTGGCACCTTCTGAAGGTATGAGCTGGCTTTGGACCAGTTTAGCTGCCTTACTTTTTGTCCAGGTATCCTTGCTCTGGGCAACCAGTTCCACGTAAGGACAGGGTGTCCCACCGTCCTTGCCACACTTGGCCAACGTTGTGGCATCTTCTCTCCATCTCACGGTTCTGTGACCTCGATCCGTCAAATCCGACCTAACCATGTCGTCGGCCCTCTCCACGCTTCCTGCAAATACCGTGACGCTCTAATGTCGGATCTTTCTGGAAGGGGGCAATGCTGGGGAACATCTGCTTTGGAAGTAATCAAATCATGATGGATCAAGCCAGCCGCAACCCCCCCACTCTCCCAAGGCCGGCCTCTGTCATTGAATTTCACACCTCCCATGGAGGTGCCACTCCGCGGTGAGAACCCCGGGATGAGATTTTATCTGTTAGTCTCCTCGAATTCCGACACGGGGCCAAGTAAACACAGCCCTGGCTCTGTCCTTTCGTATAAACAAACTCGTAAACGTCCTCCATCCTCAGGAGGCTCACGTTGCCAGCCCAACACAGACTTTCCGACTCACTTTGAAGCCCCATTGCTGCCAACTTTCCAGTTTAAAATGAGGGAAACATCATAAAAGACTTCATTTCCATTGCCCTGTGGAGGTGGATGGAATAGAGGGTGAGTTGGAAGCTATGAACAAAACAAGTTTATAAAAATTCCAAATAAAGCGGCACTTCCGACATTAGCCAGACTTAGAGGCAGAGTTGCCAGGCCTGTGTGGGTCGCTGGGACGGAGCGCCGGGGGCACAGGCTGGGCGGGACGGCAGGAGAAACTGGGGGGCACACGCCCTTAGAGGAGGACACCTCACGGGCACCGTGGGGATCGGAGCCTCCAGAAATGACAACAGAGAGCTGGACGCCCTTAGTGAAGGGGTTCAGGATGTGCCACCCCCAAGCAGGCCCTTTGACACAGTGTTTTGAGCTGTGGTCACCGGAACAGCAGCCAGTGCGGAGGGAGGCTCTCCCTGAGCCCCCTCACCGGCCGGACACAGCCTCCAAGAGAGGCTCGGGGTCGCAGGCCCTCCTGGGGGTCTCACTGACCAGGGGAGACGGCCCCTTACCACACGCAGGGGAGGAGCCCGAAGCCGACCCCACACCCAGACAGACGTTGTCACGGACTGTCCTCGCTTCCCACCTCCTCTCCCAAGGGCCCACCACCTTCCCTGAAAACCACTTCCCCCACCTTCCCGGCCACGATGGCGCACATGCTTTCCAACCTCACCCCCGCGGGGGGCCGGGGTGGGGGGCGCGCGTCCCCTGGGGCGCTCCGCTCACACTGTCACCAGGGAATCAACGCGTGTGCCTCCGCGCCTGTCGCCCTGCCTGCTGCCGCCCTGCG